TTAGCCCTGGCACGAGATGGGCAGTCCAGAGGTGGAGATTGCCACGCTCCTGTGCCCTCAGCCCTGGGCACTCAGCCCTGCCCATGCAGCCAAAAAGCCTGTGGAAAATTAGGCTTCCTTTTTGTCAGTGTTTTTTTTTTCCCTGAAAACAAGTTGAAAACAAGCTCATTCCTGTGGAGCTCCGGACTCCCTGCAGCTCAGGGAAGGACAAAGCCCAGGGGCCAGCAGTATCCCACCGAGCTGCAGCGCTGGGTCACTGCCSCCAGGCTGAAACTGGGGCTTGATGGGCTGAGGAGGGGTGCAGGGTCAGYGCTGGACACGGCTCCCTGTGGTCAGTCCTGTGCTGCAGCACTGCTGGGGGGRTTGGGATCCAGTGAACGGGGTGGATGGAGGGCACTGGCAATCTGCTTTCATCCTGTTCTCAAAAGAAACACGGATAGTTTTCTCAGGACTCACTAGGGAAGGAAAGTAGCTTTTTAAACAGCTTAAATAAACAACTGGGCTTGAAAAACACGGGCCTGATTTCCATGCCCTGCTGCAGTAATTAGGGCACAGACTGGGCAGGCAGCGACAGAGCAGCGCTGAGAAGGGAAGGAGTGGACGCGGCTCCCTCCCCGTGAGGCCAGGGAGGAATCGGCATCGGCGAAGCTGCCAAAGGAGGAGCTGAGCAGCATCCCTGGGTGCTCATCCCTGGGTGCTCATCCCTGGGTGTTCACCCCTGGGTGCTCATCCCTGGGTGCCCATCCCTGGGTGCACATCCCTGGGCGCACAGCCCTGGGTGCTCATCCCTGGGCGCACAGCCCTGGGTGCTCATCCCTGGGCGCACATCCCAGGGCTGCGGGGCTCGGCACGGCTGTGCACAGAGCGCTGTGGGCACAGGAAGGGCAGTGCAGCCCCATGCACGGAGCACACTGACAGCACCCCGGCTGCACCCCAGTACCCTCAACCCTGCTAAACCCAGCCTCCTGCCCTGGCTGGCTTGGACTGCAGAGCTCAGGAGGCAAACCCCAATTGTCCCCCCGATGCCCCTGACCTCTGCAGCAGACTCAGCCCGAGGCAGAAGAAAAGGCACTTCATCAAACCCACCCCAGCGAATGTCCGAATGAACTGCGGGAGCAGGAGGGGTGCCAAGAGGAGGGTGAGGTTTSCTCTTTGCTTTCTGCCTTGGGGTGCTCACAGGAGAGGGGTTCTGGGAGAGGAGCCTCCCCGGTTCCCAGGGAAGTTGGGATGCCCGCAGGGTTTGGTGCCGTGTCCCTGCCCAGTGTCACCAACCCTCCGAGCTGCTTTTGTGCATGTGCGCTGTCACCGTCCCCTCGCACCCCGCCGAGAGCCCGCACGTGTGTGTGCCCGCAGCCCCGGGCTGTGCTGGGGGAGCGGGTGGGTTTGAAGGGCTCTTTGTTCCCCCGTGTAATTATACCTGAGCAGCGGAATAGAAACGTGCTGAAAACCCCTCGCTGGACCTTTCTGACAGGAGCCGGGGCGTTTGGCTGCACAGTGGCTCCATTGTTCCCTTCCATGCGCCTGGAGCAGCCAGACCACCTCCTGCACCCCCTACTTCCCCAAAAATAACCAGCCTGTGATTAAAAAACGGGTCTTTTCCCTCCAATACTGGGCAAAATGCCCCAAGCCTCGCTCCTACCCAGGGCTGGCAGGGTGACGCTGTGGCAGCAAGAGCAGGGCCCGCAGGTGARCCGGTGACTTTGGCACTGGGAACACCCCCAGCACCCCGGACCTTGACAGAGCCACGGGAACATTCACGGGGACTCGCATCCATCCCTGCCCATGCCAAACCCCGCGCGGGAAAGGGGGAAGACAGGAAGAGAATAAAATAAAAACAGGGGAAGAAGGGGGGAAACTGGGGGGAAAGGGGGGAAAAAATAAAAGGAAAAAAGACAAACTCTCCCCATCCAGCAGGATTCGCCACCATTACTGAGATCGCAGAATGCGGTCCTATGGCAGAACCCGCTGCCGCCGAGGAGTTCCCACCCGCAACGGGGCCGGTCGGGCAGTCCGTGATCAGCGGGGCCGGGCCCTAAGCAGTCCGTGACCAGCGGGGCCGGTCCCTAAGCAGACCGTGACCAGCGGGGCCGGTCAGGCAGTCCGTGACCAGCGGGGACGGTCCCTAAGCAGTCCGTGACCAGAGGGGACGGGCCCTAAGCAGTCCGTGACCAGAGGGGACGGTCCCTAAGCAGTCCCGTTCCCGGTGGGAGCCCGCGGGAAGCGGGGGCAGAGCCCGGGAGGGCGGCGGGGGGAGCGGGGGGAGCCGCCCGCGGTGCCGGGAGTGCCCAGCAGGGGGCAGCAGAGACGGGGGGAGCGGGGAAAGGCCGGGAAAGGGGTCCGGGGGATGGACAGAGCCGGGAAAGGGGGTCCGGGGCGATTGATGGTGGATGGAGATGGGAAAAGGGGTCCGGGGGATGGACCGTGGACAGAGACGGGAAAAGGGGTCTGTGGGATGGAAGGAGATGGGAAAGGGGGTCCGGGGAATGGACAGAAATGTGAAAGGGGGTCCGGGGGATGGACAGTGTATGGAGACGGGAAAAGGGGTCCGGGGGAATGGACGGTGGATGGAAACGGGAAAGGGGTCCGGGAGAAGTCCGGTGGACGGAGACCGGGCGATGTCCAGTGTTCACCAAAGYAATTAGGGCTGTGCCATCACTGGAAGTGCTCAAGACCAGGCTGGAGCAAGATGGAAGTTGGCCCTGCCCCCGGCAGGGCTGGAAGGTGGAAGTCACCCTTGGGGGTCCCTTTCAAAGCAAATCACACTCTATGGAACACAGCTCTTCAAGCCCTTTGGTACAGGTGACAGGTTTGGCAACCCCAAAAACACCGGAGCTTTGGCATCACCACCTGCACCGTGACTGGCACCAAGCAAGATGAGACAGAGGAAGGGGAAGGAGGAGCTGAAAGGTTTTAGCCCCGGGTATCAAATCATCCCTGCAGCAAAAGGTTACCTGCATGCAGTGACACCAGGGGAAGGAAGGTTTTCACCTGGCAGACCCCAACCCCAAGGAGAACCTGCTATTACCTCCCACACAGTCCCAGCTTATCCAGCTAACTGGGAGCCCAGTCCAGCCCCAGTCCAGCCCCAGTGGGCAGAAGAGGGCTGTACCCAGGTCCCCCATCCCCTGAGCACACTCTGACCCTGCCGGCAGCCACATGAAGCTCAGCCGTGCACCTGACTCAGCACCCACGGGCTGGGGGATGCTCGTGGGATGCCCCCAAAACCAGGAATTGTGTCCTCCCCGACTCCGCGGGTTTGGGATGATGGGGACAGGCACCACAATCACCAACACTATTGCACTCATTGCTGTGACCCATTTTGGCACCTCTGGCACGTGGCACAGCACACACCCCACTGCCTCAGCTCACACTGCAAAACAAGGGACTTAAACATCACCTCAAAACCCCCTGGAAAGCCATAAAGCAAAGGGACTCAGCAAGGTTACACTTAATTTTCCAGCTCCTCCACGTCTTTCATGCAGAGAGCATTTGGGAAGGCCAGGCCTGCCCCAGCCTCCTGATCACATCAGCACCTGGGAGGATTCCAGCTATTTTSAAGCCAGATAAAGCAGATCCTCAGTGTTTTGGTTTTAAAACCAGAGCAGCACTAAGAAGAAAAACAACAAGGGCCATCTGTGAGGTCAGAGATGAAGACAAGGAATTCTCAAGGCATTAGTGCCTCTCAGCACACACCAGGTACAGGCAGRCCAGCTAGAAGGGCAGATGGAGGGAATGGTGACAAATCCATCTCAGGAGCTGGGGCTCTGCAAGGACAGGCAGGCAGCCAGGCTTGAGCTCGGGGGATTTGCAGACTACCCGTCCAGATTGCTTTGCAAAAACAAGGCACTTTTACACTGAGGGCAGTTTTGGAAAGTACACAGGATTCTTGCAACCAAGAGACGAAGCCCAGGAGAGAAAGAAAGGGAAAAGAAAAACAAAAGGACAAACAGGTTTGTTCCAAGCAGCACGTCCAAGAAGCTGTCACAGCCACGAGGACAKGGGGATCGCAGTACGTCACCCATGCACGGACAAACAGCAGCTCCCACGGAGCACAGGAGGGCCCTGGGAACACGTGGCTCTGCTTTCCTGAGTGTTGGATGAGATTCTCAGAGGTTTTCTGAGAGCACACCTGGCACAGAGCAGGCARTAAGGAGCAGAAGAGCACGTGCTGCTCCCTCACCCCGAGGCAGCCTGTGTACTAGTCCCAATTTGTTTCTCTGTCCAGGCTAATCCAAGCCACCTGGAGCAGGAATTCCCACCAGGGAGAAGGGAATTAGATTTTCTCGAGGATGATAATCCATTTAAATACAGCACTTCTGCTCCCAGCGAGCAGCCCTGCTCCCCATGGAGAACCCCCTGTCCCACCTGCCCAGGGAGAGAGCTGGGTCCTGTCAAGCKGGCAGAGCAGAGGGGCTTGGAAAAACTGCAGCTTCCTCCAGGGCTTGCCTAAAAGAGCAGCTGGTTTAGCCCCTAACAGCATGAAGCCCCCTGTGGACTCGCTCCCAGAGCAGCTGATCGGCTCTGCACCCATTCCAAGGCCTATGTTGGTTAAACAGGGGCAGCTTGAAACTTGGTCAAGCAAATTGCCCAGAACATTGCTCCTGTTTGAAGGGACAGGCATGTGCCATCAGGGGACAGGCACAGACCTCTTTCTGCCTCACTCTGTCCCTTCTGATTACAAGGGAACAGCTCTCTCAAAGTGCTATCACAAAACTGGTCACAAGACAGGARAGACTCACCCCATGGCACTGTGCTGTCTCTGCTCTATTCATCTGGAGAAGCAGAGCAGCTCCAGAGACCCAGGGATGCTGGTCCTGTGGGAATCAGTCATGGGGCAGGCACTGGAGGCAGCTCAGGAGCTGCTGACAAAGCCCCTTTGAGCTGCAGCCACCGAGCCAGGTCCCAGCGTGCCTCCCCCTTCACTAAACCAAGTTACACAAACATGAGCTCCCAGKGATCCAGCTTCCAAAAGTAATTTCAGATCAGGAACAGTCCAAAAAGCCAGTTTTAGAAAGTACCATTTATTTGAGAAAAAAAAAATAAAAACCAGTAACAGTGGAAAATCCCCAAGAGCAATTACACAAGAGAATCTAAATATCCCGAGAAGCAGTCACAGCTCCTGCCTTCCTGGTAGTGCTGTCCAYAGGCAGCACAGTCCTCCCTTTCCTTTGCAGCCTCCAGTGAACTCTGTGCAGCTTTGAGAGCCTCCCAGAGCCCAGTTTCCCCGAACACACTTGCACAGGGACCAAGTGAGTCACTTGGAGGAGGACCTCTCCTCTCCCACCAACACATGTTCCTGCCTCACCCCGAGAAAGGCATGACTTTATTTTTTTAATCGCCTCTCAGGATTTGGCCTYAAGCCTACAGCAAAGTCTCTGGAGGCTCCAGGAGCCATGAGAATTCCAAACAGCCTTTGCTGGTTTTGTGCTGCCTGCTCAGGTGCTCAGTTTGGGGACCCACACTCAGATTTTTGTGTCAAATCACACCAGACTCGGCGCCACACAAGGAGCCGGCTTGCTCATGGTTCTGTAACACCATCCTGACACAGAGGCACAGGACACACATCACCCTTTGCTCTGGACACAGGGGGTTGATCCYGTGCTCAGTGCAGGTGGGAGCTGTGCACAGGGGATGTTAACAAAGATCCACAGCCAGCAGGGATCCAAAGCACAGTGCTTCCAGCAGGGATGGCACCGGGCAGACCCCACATCCAGCCTTTCCTCAGAGGCAGGACTCAGCACAGCACCTCARGGGACTCTGCTGCCCCAAACAAAGTTATCAGCTCCTCCCTGCAAGCTGCCAACTCCTGCTKCCAGGTGGGGATCTCTGCTCCAGCTGTGCAGATCAAACCCGGCACAAACTGACCACAAAGGGACACAGAGCCCCCAGGTGCCATCCCGAGCACAAGCCCCCCCTGCTCTACACAAAACACTGGACAAACAGCAGCACAAACAAGATCAAAAGCCTCTTACACACCATAAGGCTGCTGAAGAGCTAACTCCAGCCTTCTCATTCTCATCYGTATATATCTCAGTAAAATATATAATATATAGCTTTATAGGACTGATTGTAATATATTACAGCCTGCAATTACTCTTGTCTTTTCCCTACTTCAATCATATTTATGCATCCAACTTTGCATACAGAAGTTATTGCCTTGAATTCATAATTGCAATTCACAGAATAAAGCTTAAATAGTTTTCACAGAGACTCATTATATTAGTGTTTTACATAAAAAGGATAAAAGTTACCAAATGAGAAAGCAGCCATTTCAGAAACTATAAATAATTCTATTTTTTTAAAAAAAATCCTAGAAAAGTTATGAGAAAACCATAAATATCTTTACCCTCTATAGTAGCTGCTATAGAACTAGAAGAAACTTGTAACACTCTGTAGCTAACTCTGCTTCAGTTCAGAATATGAATCATATAAAACAGCATCTCTAGAGAAATGCCCGGCCAAAGGAAACACAAAGGGATTGAAAAAATAAATCTGAGGAAATTAAAAAAGTAGATTTTTTATTATTATTATTATTTCAAAACAATTTCTACAAACTTTATATAAACATCAGGCTATTTCCTTTAAAATTTTGTTATAAAAAAACCCTACAAGCAATCCTTAAAAAAAGGTAAGAGACTGAAGGCAAGGAAAGGGTGTTGCCATAGCCAAACACAACTGGCTGTCCCGATTTCAAGGACTAATGACCCTTGCCTGGGGCCGACAGGAAGAGACAGAATTCTCCTGGGGAAGACAATCCCATCGGCCCTTTATGGCATTCAGGGATATTGAGCCCTTGTGGGCCTTTTACACCCTGATAAGGCAACATTATCTGTAGTGTAAGAGATTCATAAATAGTTCTCCACAAAAATGCTTCACATCAACAGCCTGCTGCAAGACATCTAGTAGCAAGATTTATAAAAAAAAGCCATCTTCTATAGAAGCAGCCAATCCCAGCACGGCACGCTGGATGCAAACACATGGTGTTTGCTTCCATACAGTCTGGTTTGTGTTTATATACCCTCTATAAAACCAAGCAGAAAATTTGGCATCTTTATTCTTTTTACGCTAACTTAGAAAAAAAAATACACTGAGGTTTTTTTTCAGACTCTTTGTATTTCATTGGGCCCTTGTTAGCTGAGTGGGATGGGAAGGGTCATGAAGGAAGTTTGTTTTTTCTCAAAGTCACTTTGAGAATTCAATCAAAAAAAAAAAAAAAAAAAAAAAAAAAAAAAAAAAAAAAAAAAAGAAAAAAAAAAAGCATTTGTTCAGCACATCTCATCTGAGGGCACAGTGTTTCCATACAGTCTGTTTGTCCCCTGATGGGCACAAGGTGCTGCTGAGCTTTAGGCATAGAACTCATTTGTGGGGGCTTTCTTGTAGATGGGTTTCTTGCCCAGGTCGTAACTGCCCTCGTCCTTTTTCTTCATGCGATAGACCARGAGCAGGATCAGGAAGATGGCAAACAGGAGACCCACTGCTCCTCCTGCAATGAGAGCTGGGGAGGAAAGAGAGAATGGAATAAGTCTTGGACAGCTCCAAACCACCAATATCTCAAAATCTGCTTCAGGAGTACCAGCCCCCAGAGCCAATGTCCATGTGCCTGCCACCATATGTGCTGGCACTTTCAGCAGCASCAGATGTTACTGGGAAGGGCCAGGAGAGCTTCCAGTCCAACCACAGAATAATCACATGTTCCACATTAACCAGTTTGAGTTAATCTTCCAGTTTAGCCCAAGAAAGAAATGTTGATAAGATTT